CTATGTTTCAAAATCCCTGGTAAAACATTGAATATTTTAAAATTCATGTTAAATTCCATAAATTCCAGGTAGTTCCTATAAACTCCCAGTAACTTTCATAGAAAGTTCCCAACTTTGAAAATTTCTGAATTTAACAACCCTTAGGAAGTTGAATTTCATCACAAACATCACCTGCTGGGGCAGTTTGCATGTCCCGATAAACCTTAGAAGTATGTCGAGTAAAGCTTTATGCTCCTTTTAGAAAGTCTTCAGAGGGATTGATATTGGGCTAACAATCCTTAATTGGAAAAATCTAACATTACAGAATCATTGAAGATTAATTTACTACAAACAGGCTTGGGTTATGATGGTACAATGAAAAGAACTTGTGGATGTCCTATGTTAATAGGTCATGTTAAAATGACTCTTTGCAAGAACAACACTACTGTCAGCATTAGCTTGTTTCTATGAACTTGTCAGATAACAATCATAGCCTAAGACCAAGTCAAGGTGGTCAGTCCTGCTTCATATCCTCCATGACCAAGCTGCACTAATGAAAGTAGGTCTCATGTCATGGATACATTCCCACAATGCTCCTCCATACACCACCCTGACCCTGTGCAATCCCAAAACTATCTCGCTATGGAAGTTTAATAAGTTTAATAAAGTGTACACTGCATTCTTTACAGGTGACTAAAGAATGCACCAAGACTCTGCAAAGACAATGGCTGTTGGGTTTTGAAGCCTAGTGGGGGCATAAAGTGTAGAGGGGGCCTAAAGCATTACAGTACAGAAAGCTGTTAAAGCTTTTGGAAAGAAATGGAACTACTTAGGCATGATTATGTGATGCCTCATCATATTCTTATTTTCTGCATCATGATTTTTCTAAACTACAATACCAGAAAGAATAATCTACTTGGATATTTATAGACAAATAGTTTTTGAAAAGTACTGCATTGCATTTAGAAGCACTCTTTCTTAATACTGTAGAAAATCTTTTCAAAAATAGAAAAACATTTCATATTTATGCTCCCCCTAAACTCTAGCCCTCGTCTTGGTATTGATTGTTTTGCCTTGTTAACAAAACCTATCCATGGAATCATTTTTTTTATGAATGTATGCATGTTTTATTATGTGTACAGCACTTTGGTCCTGTGGGTGTTTAAAGTGCTCTGTAAATAAATATGGTATGGTGTGGTATGGTATGGTATGGTACGGTACGGTACGGTACGGTATGGTATGGTATGGTATGGCATTTTATGGTACGGTATGGTATATGGTATGGTATGGTATGGTATGGTATGGTATGGTATGGTATGGTATGGTATGGTATGGTATGGTATGGTATGGTGTGGTATGGTACGGTACGGTACAGTATGGTATGGTATGGTATGATATGGTACGGTATGGTACGGTATGGTATGGTATATGGTATGGTATGGTATGGGATGGTATGGCATGTTATGGTATGGTATATGGTATGGTATGGTATGGCATTTTATGGTATGGTATATGGTATGGTATGGTATGGTATGGTATGGTATGGTATGGTATGGTATGGTATGGTATGGTATGGTATGGTATGGTATGGTGTGGTATGGTATGGTATGGCATTTTATGGTACGGTATGGTACGGTATGGTATGGTATATGGTATGGTATGGTATGGTATGGCATTTTATGGTACGGTATGGTACGGTATGGTATGGTATATGGTATGGTATGGTATGGTATGGGGTATGGTATGGTATGGTATGGTATCCATGGATTATGATTTAAAGTGGCTGCATCTGTGTCCAGCTGATGCAGAGCCAAGTTCCGAGGATGTATGAGTGGGCTCTATAGCAGACCAACTTCTGCTCAACACCTGCTGGCCAGTTCCAGCTAGATCGAGCTACTTAATCCCATTTACAGAGACAGTCGGGTAAATTATTCAAAGCACCAATAAAAAAGCCTTCAATATTCATAGGACTGCCTCTTATATCCACAAAAGAAGTGGGGATGCATTCGGATGTGTGTGAGCTTGTTTATTTTTAAAAACAGACGTCTTGTCAAACCGAATGAGGGGTTTTGTGCATCTGCCTGTTTTTATCCTCTTGGTTTAATAATATCAAGCCGACACATTGGTCAAAAGTAAGGATATGCTGCAGGAATTATTTTTGTCTGCTCAGTCGAACAGCACAGACAAGAGAAAACACTGTACCCGAACCATTTTTGTCTCACCCCCACCCCACCCCACCTTTTTTTTTCTTGCAGCTTAACAGGAACTGACTACAAGGCGGATGCCAGGAATATTTTCCCAAACAGTAAAAGCAGCAAAACGGCTACTGTGTTGTCATTTATGTAAGCAGTTAGCCAGATGTAGTTACAGCCTTCTGAGGATGCCTGGGAAATAAACTCAGGCCGTCAGGTTACACAGGAGCAGAGGATATGCTGGAATTATGCTAACTGGAAAATGTGTTCAGCTGCAGAAACCCCATCACTGCAATTATTGATGTCAGCATCAAACTGAAAAGCAGCCCTTTCTTTCAATCTGTGTCATCATATTTACCACATGCATGACTCCGTGACCTTTACGGAGATAATTCTATTACGTAAGATGAATATTTGTTCTAGATGTGGAATGGAAGCGTTCAAGTGGCCTGACACTTGGATGTCTTTTGCGTTAAGTGGAATGGTATAGCATTCATAGAAAGAGAAAGAAAACACAGAAATAAGTATGGAAAGAGCAGTGAGCCAGAGTCAAATGGGATAGAAATGCTCTTTAAAGCGTTTAACTCTGCACTCTCCTCCATTTTAATGCAGCATTTGGTGCGACGAAACGTCGCAAGTGGCTCTGAAAATGACCTCTTTTTTTTCCTTGTGTATCACAGAGTGCAATCCAAGGTGCAAACTGCAGAGGTGTGCAAGAAAAGCAAAACAAAACAAACAAAAAAAAATCATAGATGATCTTTGTCTGTTGAAGTTTTTTTTTATTCATCTTCCAGAGACCTGTTGGCTACAATGGAGAAGTGCGCCGAGGCTTGGTACTAACAATGGGCACGGATGAAACTTGGAGCCGCGGTGCTTGCAGGAGAGTTCACTTTGCTTTATTTGAGTTTCTTCATTTGGGCAAAGACGGAGCTGGAGAAGCAGACAATTACTGATATTTGCTGCCAGCTATCAGAGAGCGAAGCCGAGACGTGTACAGAGGCAGAAGCTCCATCTCCACATTGTTAATTAGAAACTCTCCCTCAGCGCTGTGCTCACTGAATAAAAGAAGTCACACAGTCGTACCCCACACACACAGAGGCACACGAACGAGSCAGAAACTTCACTTTTATCAAGCGGTAAAACAGCTGGCAATACCAGAGGATTATTATACACTGGATTTTGCTCTGTTTAGGAGATCGCACAATATATGATCATTACATACAATCATTGAATGGCCTGGGGAGTTTATATAGAGAGGAAGTGGGGGCGTAAAGACAGAGAGCAAGAAGAAGCAAAGCAATGAGGAGAAATAACAGGGAAACTGATTTCATGCTCGAAGGATTGCATCTCATTTTCTCCCAGCACGAAAGCACAGTGTGTGGTCTCCCTCAAGCCCTTACTGCCACCTGGTGGTGGATCACTGCAACACAGGCTGAGGTTACGTCGGAAGAAAATACAACTTTGACATGTTTTGTTTTCTGAGGAAAGTGAAACCAGATTAAAAGGGTTTGAAGTAYTCTCAATCCTAAAATGTTCATCAGAATTTACTTTTTATGCTCTTTAGTTTCCTCTCAAGACCTATTTCTTGTTTCCAGCTTAGTAAGCAAAGATAACTAGCTGAAAAAAATATATATATATATACATGGTATGTTTTTGAGTATCTGCACATGTGGTAAGCTCTAAAAACATGAAGGACAAAAGCAGTGACTTATGAAGAAACATGAGAGAAAATGACATTACATAAAGGGAACATTGATTCTAAAGTTATTTTCATGAATTAAGCCAGAAAGGAGAAGTGGATTAAAAAAATAAGAAAGAAATAATTCAAAGTGAAACATTGCCAAATCCTTTTTCAATCCTGTGTAAGTACTGGGAATGTGTGTCCTAATGATTGCTATCTGAACACTGACTTTAAAGTGTCTTAAGACACTTATTTGTAGTTTCACTGTTGTAAAATATTATTATACACTTGGACAGTTAAGACAACATGGTGAGAGTCAAAGGTGTTGTTTCAAGAAGATCTTCACATTGATCCAAAGTCTATTAGAACTATGCAACAACAGACAGCACTGAAAGGTAGATTCATCAAGACTTCTTATCACTAATTAACACATATGAACAAAGTTCAATCAACACAAGACAGGGCTGGAAAATAGAAGTCAATCAGTGGGTAAAAAGAAATAAAGTGAGGAGAGAATGGAAATTGAGATCTGAAAGTTATGAAGTGKTAAACCTCAGCCGGGTCTGACAGAAAGGTCAGGACGATTAGCAGGCGCTCACAGATTAGCAGCTCTACTAACAGCTTCCATCACCTCATTAGTCTGGTCCAGCAGCACTAAGCCCCGACTATTAAAAGCCAAATGAAAGACCGCCGACTGATTACTGAGGGGTAGTCCCCTGTCGTCATGGGGCTGAGATCCCCCAGCATTCGCACAAAGCCGCTCTCTGACTTCTGACAGCTTCTGGACACAAGTTTATGAGGAGGCGATTGAGGCAGAGGTGGATATTTTGCACATCATTAGCCACAGCTACTCACTGAGAAGCACGAACAATAAAAGTTTAAAGAATGAGCAAACCAGCCTTGGAGTATTTAAATCAAAGACGTGATACTCACTGTTGAAGAAAGCCTGTCGCAAATTCAAATGTCTGCCCATTGTGGGTGTCCATACACATGTGTGAAAGGTCAGTAATATAAATCTGTACACTGTACAACAGTGCAGTACAAGTTATGTAACGCAAGAACAGCATTTTTGTGTCAAGTTTTCCTGGCTTTCATGAGCTACAGTAACAGAACTACAAAGACAAAAACCACAGTTCAGCTGTACTCACGGTCGTTGCAGTGGGTCCCAGAGTAGGACGTCATGGAGCAGTCGCAGGTAAARTTCTCCCACTGCTGGATGCACACGCCCATGTTAGCGCATGAGTCCTCCTGGCAGGTGGTGCTCGGGCCTGGACAGAGGAAGATCAAGAAAACAGAAAGGAGAAACGGCCGGTGTGCATTCAGACAAGAGTGAATCAGACTGCTGAGCATAAAGACAAGAGGGACCCATGCAGAAGAAATGCACTCTAGAAATGCACTCTATATGGGCCTAGGAGGAGCAGTGTCACCACAGGAAGCCTGACCTGGAATACCACAGTGACTGAGGGATTTCATGCCAGCTGAAGCTGCAGTAGCACTGGCAAATCAAAGCAGAGGTGGCAGGTGTTCACAGGACCCACATCACGCTTCTCAAAAATAAATAAATAAATAAAAAAAAGGCAAAAGCAAATATTTTTACTATAAAATGGGAACGGGCTTTTATTTTACTTAGGTGGCCATTTTGACGTAGTTAAAAAGAATTGAAGAACCATTAATGGAACGAAAAAGTGGTTACATCATCTGGGTCTGTCAATATGCAGAAGAAATTAATGTGTTGCACAATTTGACAGATTTTTCCCTCCTTTATTGATGAGGACAAACACATAGCTTGCTTGGTCAAAAGATTTAGCCATATTTTAACAATTACACTGCTTGTGAACTCTTGATATACATTCAATTTGAATATGTTACAATCCTGGCAAAGAAAAGTTTAGACCCATTTTATTCAAAACCAACATATAAAATGGTAAATAAAAGATCTGACTTTCGTATGATTCTTTAACAAAAYGCTGTCTTTCATTAAAGTCTTGTGTTTTAGGTTTGAGGACATTGAGGACCAAATGAACATAGTTCAAGGGTGTCTACTGGCCACTGGACTAATTTTGCCCATGTCTGATGCAAAACCTTCTTTAAAGAAGTAGTCGGGTGATTTTTGAAGTCTGTCCTATACTTTTCAATAGTTTGAAATGTATCAGCTGTGACATCAGTCCGTTTGCCTGATCAACACATCTGGTCAGTCCAAAAGTTGACTCAAGTCCTGTCAGACAAATCCAATCAACTGGGTCACCACGAGTCATCCTCCTCCATCTCACTTAACATCCTCTGTCCTCACTTCATCTCCCTCCATGTGCTTTCTAATTGCATCCATATATCTCCTCTTTGTCGTTTCCCTGGCAGGTTCACTTTAAACATCCTACAAACAAACCCACTGTGTCTCCTCTGTACAAGTCCAAACCRTCTGTCTGGTCTCTCCAACTTTGTCTCCCAGTCACTTGACTTGTGCTGTACCTCTGATGATCTGATTCCTGATCTTATAAATTTTTGTCCCTCCCAAGGAGGACCTCAATATTTTCAGMTCTGCCACTTCCAGCTCCGACTCCTGGTTTTTTTTTTTACTTTTTTTTGCCTCCAAACYATACAACATAGCTGGTCTCACTACTTTTGTAAACACATACACTTGCAACTTTTCTCCATCCACCCAGTCCAACACATTCTCACTCCCGACTCATCAACATATTGACGCTTTTCCAAAGTTCCCTCTGCGTCTTATTTTGACACGTTGGGTGACCCCCTCGCGTCAGTCCTTGCCTCACTCGGCTTTTCCGGGTTGCGCCACCAGGGGTCTTTGGGTCGGGCGTCTGAGGTGAACACGAGGGATCAGGATAAATGGTTAAATAAATTTAGGTACTGGGGTCAGGGATAGGATGTCTACAGCGAAAATTAGGTAATTTTAGGCTTTGGAACACGTAGTTGACAAGAATTTCCTACATTTTCTAAAAATGGTTAATTTTAGGTACTAGGGTCAGGGACAGGATGTCTAAAGTGGATAAATGTAATTTTAGGCTTAGGGACAGTAGTTTTTGTGCATTTTCTACACTTTCAGAAATTATGACAACAGATTCCGCCCCATCTCGTCAAAAAAATGACACAAGGGGAGTACCCGACGCATCAAAATTGGACGCAGATGGAACTTTGGAAAAGCGTCAATACGTGACGACTCAGAAGTGAGAATGTCCTGGGCTTTCTTGTGTACCTCTTTACAACAATTACTGTTTTCCTGGACATTCGACCCTAAATAAGTCCTGCACCTTTGGGACCTCTCTTTGTGTAGCCTCATGGTTTCACTTGCCTCCCACTAATTTACACATGAACATTTTCTTGCTATGGTTGACTTTCAATCATCGTCTTTCAAGTGCATACCTTCACATCTCCAATTTCTCTTCCACTTGTTGCCCGTTTTCACTAGAAATCAAAATGTCATCTATAAACATCACAGCCCACATTCCTGTCTGACCTCATCTGAGCTGACTGGTACATTTAACAAAATCAGGAAATTGACATTTGAGTAGGACCTTAGACATTTTGATTGAGAAAACAAGGATGAACTAAACAAAACAGAGCAAAAAAGCATGGGTTTAAAATTAGATCTGTATGACAATGAGAATGTTTTATAAACCTGAAAAGTGGCACAAAGTTTAACAAACCTTCAACCTGGCCTGGTAGAAGATTTCTGCCCTTTTTTGCAACCGGTGTTACTGCTCATGCGATACTAACCACTGATAAGTATTTGACAGATCATTTAAAAAAATCACCAGACTATACCTTAAAGGGCACTCGCGTTGTGTTTCAAAAAAATTACCAGACATATAGAACCCTGTCAATAAATGGGATCCCAGCTTGGCTGTTGGGATGACACTGTTCCTCATTTTTCATTTATTTCGTGTGCAAGTGGACTTGCATGCAATCTTAACATTCCGACGTTTCGAGACATATGTGGCACAGTAAAACTCKGGACGCTGCATTCCCTCCGAGAACAAGCAAGGCAAGACAAAAACCTGACAGGTCAYAAAGAAAGCATCTAATTTTACCATTTGAAAGATAGTCCCGGTTATTGTGTTTAAGTATTTGTGTGAGAATACTTTATGAACACTAGATACAGTAGACAGACAGAACTTATGAAAAGTGGAAAAAAAAGAGCACTTGAAAACATTTAGTGCATATCCTTGAGTATGCACAGAAATCAAACGTATTCAAAGTCAAACTGGATGTGTGTTTGTTGTTTGTCACACCACACATAGCCCTTACTTTTGAATACTTATAGTGAGAGGGAATGCAGATAAGGACAAGCGCACTGCATAGATAAGAGAAACAAATCCTCCATTTAGAGTCTAGACAGACAGAGGAGAAAAAAATTCAACAATAATCCTCCAGATAGCAGTATACAGTAAGAAACAAACAAAAGTCAAGTAAACTGTACAAATACATAGCAGACAAATGCAAGTAAACGTTTAGGAGCAATTGTCTTGTGCAAGACAACGTGAAGAGAAGAAGACAATTGAAGTGGAAAAACAGAGCAAGTTCGCCAGCTGAAAGTGCATTTACTGTGTAATGTACAGGAACGGTAGTCAACCAGGCGTCCCAAATGCATTCTTATCAATGCAAGTGTAAAGTGTGCACAAACACACCGGCTTGCTTTAATCAGAGTGAGCAGCAGTGGTGGATTTCATTGCATCCCAGTGTTTCAGCAAGAGGGTTGCTCTCTGAAGAAAATCTGTTGGCATCTAACATGATGGGTTCTAAATAGAAGCAGAACATTTCTGAAGAACATTTGATGGATGCCCTGCTACTACTACCCAAAAACCATACATACATTAACTTTCTTATATAAAGCCAAATAGGAAAATGGGATTTACTTCTCTAAATGTCTAAACCATGTGCCAAACTCAAGGCTCTGCATTTAATGTGACCTGCCAGAAATTCAAAGTTGGATTAATGTCTTTAAATAAGCCTGTGCTGCTTTAAAGTCAGCACTGACCATAAACTGTATCTCTTATAAAGCAGGCTGATTATTTTTAACTGCAAAATGATGGCATCCCACCACTAGGGGGAGGTGCACAACGTTTAAAAGTGGCTGGTAGCTGGCAAAATTTGACAGGTAAAATCTTAATCTTAAAAGTTGTATGTTTACACTGGAATTCCACTCCAGTTATAATTCCCTGCCAGAAAGTGGGAAAGTTCTGAATTCAAAAGAGTAGCTACTTACCACAACTCACCAGTGAATACAACTTTTGTACTTTTACTTTTAATAGTGTTTCTGTGCTTTTATTTCACATTTAGTCAGTCATATACGTAGTACTTTCACTCAGTGTTTTATTGGAGGACATATTAAAGGCACAGTGTGTAGGATTTTGTCAATTATTTTAGCCAAAATTGAGATAATCAATAATGACAATAATAAAAAACATGTCTAATCATTGCAGACAAAGACCTTGTTTTATTATTTTTTACCTTATAAAAAGCTGTTTATATCTCCATGGTCGCGGGTCGCCCTACAGGCAGCCGCCATCTTGCACCGCCATCTTGTCTACGAAGGCTCATGAAGGACAAACTGCGGTGGCGGCGTCAAAAACGGTTTTAGTTCTAATACTATAAATTTAATATCTGTTGTCTGTCATTGTAGCTGGGATAATTTGACTTATTAAAGCTCATAATCTTACCATTTGAAACATCACTAGCCCTGAAGCTGCTGGTAGACATCGCGGTTGGAATTACCAAAGGTTTTTTGACACCTGAGAGACACCGTAGCAACTTCTTTGCATTTGGAAGCGGGGGGTGGGGGTGGGGGGAGGACCAGGGAGGATGATTCAACCACTCAACCACTAGATGTCATTGAAAACAACAAATCCTACACACTGTGCCTTTAAACTGCTGCTGCTACGCAGGGAAAACCATGTAGAGCTCAGTTATTGAATGCTAGTGGTGCTCAGCCATAGCAACATGACAAATAATTTAACGTTTGGTGTTTAGTTGAAGTTAAACATCAAAGTTTATTACAACTGGTCCTTTGAGGGCAACCATATTGCTAATGTTAATTTCTACTCACTGTGAAAKTGAGTAGAAATTAAGCCTCAATCAACACACCCTTTACTTTTAGTTTTGAAGATATTGATAAAAAATCAGCACACTATTCCCAATTCTCAGCCATGTGTTTATTTTATTTTTATAACTGGGTACAGCCAAAAGATGAGTTGCGTACTGAAACCTGTGGAACCTAGCAAAACTGGGCAAATAGTATTGAGTGTTTATGCATTAGCATCCCTTAAAAAATTGAAGTCTGAGTGAAACGGAGGTTGAATCGAGCAGCAACACAACAAMCGTATTTAACAGCCTGCAATGCAAACAAGCTGGCATTTTCTCTTAAGAGCACACAACTCCCACAAACTGTCTACCTCTGTTTTTGTGCAACAGTTTAAGTCTCACTTGCTACATCACTCATCTGAACAGATTTGTTTACAGTTTTTAATCACAGTCTTTAAGCTGTGAATTTTAGATCCTTTCCAAAAGTGATTTCACACCTAGGCTGGTGGTTCGCAAGGAAGAAAACAGGGACGAAAACAGATGAGCTTCTAGCAGATTTTGGCTCAAATGTCTTCATTTTCATGGCTATAATTACACTACAGCACAATTTTGTATAAACCTTTGTCTAACACCACCTCCCACCCCCACCCAATCAGAGAGCAAGTCTCCACTGCAGCAGCTGAGTTATGTTATTGCCACGGTGACACCCATGATGCATTGCACACAGCAACCTTTCAGGCGAGCTGGCCTTTAAGAGGCGGAGTTTAACCGTCTACCTTGCAGGTCGGCTTTGGTGAAACCAACTGTATTGGCGCAGAAAAGAAAATAAACAGAACAGAACAGAGCAGGAAACAAGAGCAAAGGGTTAGTGAGGCACCAGCATCGTTTGTGATCTCAAAACGCAAGACCGAATCTTTGTCAACAGGGGGAACCTTGTTAGTTTGGAAATTAGGTCCTATATTTACAGTAGGTGTGTGTGTGTGTGTGTGTGTGTGTGTGTGTGTGTGTGTG